CTGGAAAAAGCTGCTTGTTTCTACTCCCCCTTCCCCCCCCCTCTCGCCCGCCTGCCTCCCCCCCCCATCTCTTCGCTGACATGAAAGGGGGAACGAAGCCTCTCCAGCTGGGACCACCCTGTGTCCTCCCTCCGCAAAGCAGGAACTCTTCCCAGATCCAAACGGTTTTGGCAGGAATCCGAACAAGGAGCCGAGAAGGAGAAGGAAGGATGAATTATGGTCCAGAAAGCCAGTGGGGGGAATGAAGCTGTCTGGGAACGGGAGGGGGGGAGGATAAACAAGCAGTCAAGTTCCCGCCCTCATGAACTCTCCTCCAGCTGTGGAAATCTGGCCACCACCAGCCTGGTTGTGGGGGGGGGGGAATCCTGAATCTGTGTGGAAGGTTGTGGTCCAGGGAAGAGCCCTCCCGCGCCCCCCCACCCCCTGAAAAATTTCAGCCTCTGAAACTTTCTGGCTGGTTGGGAAAATCCCATCCTCTGTAGGCCAGACGGTTCCTTTTGCCCGTTTGAAGCTGCAATGGAAATGCACGCATGGGCGTATATAGAATGAGAAAGGTTGGAAGGGACCTTGGAGGTCTTCTAGTCCAACCCGCTGCTGAGGCACGAGCCGCCCACCCCCCATCCAGGGAGTCCCCTTGAATTGCAACTGTTCCTTTAGTGATTCTTACGATGGCACTGGACACAGTGGCTGAGGACCGTTTCCCACACACTACCCCCCCCCCGTGGTCACGCAATCAAGATCTCAGCCGTTTGGCAGCTGACTCGTATTTATGACGGTTGAGAGGGGGGGTCACCCCTTTGGTGACTTTCTGACAAGCAAATCCATGGGGAAGCCCCTTAGCAGCCATGTAACAAGTGAAAGGATTCACTTAGCAGTGGTGGTTTGTAAAAGGGGACAAAACTCATTTCATAAATGTCTCACTTAACAACAGAAATTCTGGGCTTCCCCGTTCCATTTCAAGGATTCCCCGTTCCATTTCAGACAAATGGCTGTCTAGTCTCTTCTTAAAGACTTCCAGAGTTGGGACATTCACAACTTCTGGAGGCAACTTCTGTCCCACTGGTTAATTGTCTTCACTGTCAGGAAATTCCTCCTTAGTTCTAGGTTGCCTCTCTCCTTGGTTAGTTTCCACCCATTGCTTCGCCTCCTCTCTCTTTCCTTTCCCTCCTGGATCCAAAGTCCCCGGCTTCTTTTCCTCCAAGCCCCCAGGCGGCCTTTCCAAACAGCTGCTAACAATCTCCACCGCTCGGTGCCAAAGTTTTGTTCCTGCTGCTGAAGACGAGCGAGAGAGCGAGGGGGATCTCATTTATTTCTTTATTTTGCGTGAGAAAGAAACTTTTCCCTGCAGAGCCAAGAAAAGGAGGAGGAGGAGGAAGAGAAAGAGGAGCAGTGAGGAGAAATGAGGGCAGGAAGAGGAGGAAAAGGAGGAGGGGGGAGGAGGAATGAGGGGAGGAAGAGGAAGGAGAAGAGGAGGAGGAAGAGAAAGAGGAGAAATGAGGGCAGGAAGAGGAGGAAGAAGAAGAGGAGGAGGAGAAAGGGGAAGAGGAGGAAGAGCAATGAGGGCAGGAAGAGGAGGAAAAGGAGGAGGAGGGAGGAGGAATGAGGGGAGGAAGAGGAAGGAGAAGAGGAGGAGGAAGAGAAGGAAGAGAAAGAGGAGAAATGAGGGGAGGAAGAGGAGGAGGAGGAGGAGGAGAAAGGGGAAGAGGAGGAAGAGGAATGAGGCCAGGAAGAGGAGGAAAAGGAGAAGGAGGGAGGAAGAGGAGAGAAATGAGGGGAGGAAGAGGAGGAGGAGGAGGAAGAAGAAGAAGAGGAGGAGGAAGAGGAAGAGAAAGGGGAATGAGGGCAGGAAGAGGAGGAAAAGGAGGAGGAGGGAGGAGGAAGGGAAGAAGGAGGGAGGAAGAGGAGAAAAAGGAGGTGAGGAAGAGGAGGAGGAGGAGGAGGAGGAGGAAGAAGAAGAAGAAGAAGAAGAGAAAGGGGAAGAGGAGGAAGAGGAATGAGGGCAGGAAGAGAAGGAAAAGGAGGAGGAGGGAGGAGGAAGGAGGAAAAGGAATGAGAGGAGGAAGAGAAGGAGGAAGAAGAAGAGGAGGAGATAGGAGGGGTTGCTAGAAAGTTGGGGCTCTGGCAGGCAGCTGGGGAGATTTTGCCCCCTTTGGCCTTGGGCCTCAGCCTTCATTCTTTGGGAGCAGGGAAAATGTATATATATATATATATATATATA